GGGAGGGGTGGGGGAGGGCAGGGTCAGGGGCTGGGGGAAGAGATCCGGTGAGTCGAAAATGGTGGAGGTGCGAGTGAAAGGTGAGAGAGGATGCTAAAAAGTTGTAATAACGAAAGAGAGTGAAATACGGTGAAAGAGAGGGGTGGTAGGGGTGGTTGATGGGGAAAATGGGAGGGGCGGGGGTGAGGAGGTCCAGTGGGTCGAAGATAATGGAGGTGCGAATGAAAGGTGAGAGAGGATGTCAAAAAGTTACATATTTCGGACTTACGAATATGGACGGACATACATACAGAAAAGGAGACGTATCTTGATTTTTCATTAAAATCATCACTTTTCGACCGCTTATATCTCCAGAACGGCTTGACCGATTTTAAATTTTTTTAGTTCAAATTACTCATGGCAATGCTGCCTTTCAGAACATATAACGTTCGATTCAAATTTTTTTATACGTATTTTAGTAGTTATGCACCCCCCTAAAATGGACTTTTGTGGCTCGGGATAAGAGACTTGTAGTGTCTTTCAGTTTTTGAACATGACCGGAGACACTACCGCGTCTCCTGATATCGAATAAGTTATAGACGGTCAAGTCCGCAAAAATTGAGTAGGATTTTTCTCAGAAGAAACCACATTCATCGCTCATCAAGCGATTGTATGATCGTCCACGAAAAATCCTTGTGTTAAGACAAACAAATTGTTCCTCTGATGAAAACTCACCCTTGTATGTAGAAATACCAAAATTCCATGTCGATAATTATATCAGTGACAGTAATATTGTTATCACATTACAAATGTAATTCGTCCAAAATATGTATAAGAAGAACAAATAATAACCGTCAGACTGCCTCGACATATGAAATGAAATTGTGTAAGATCTTGGTAATGCAAAGTCAAACATTGTTTATAATAAAAATGTATGATTTATAAAGACCCTCTGTGTCTGTCTGTAGGTTAAGACTGTTATTCTGTTTTTTAATATTCAGCATCTCTGAGACAATACGTTTACTGTAACACGGTTCTTCATCTAAAATTTGAACATTATTCCAATCGAAATCATGTCCATGTTGTAATCTATGATCTGTTATCACTGATCTAAAACTCGTATTCCATTGAATGTGGTTACGGTGTTCTGTAATTCGTGTTTTTAATTTTCTTCCTGTTTGTCCTACATAAAAAGCGTCACAGTCATTGGAATTTATTTTGTAAACTACATTAGACTTAGACAGAGAATCTAATGGATTGTTGTAGCCCGTGAGTGCTACCACAATTAAGTCTCGCATTTCAGCCTAGCAACGAGCTGGCGGAAATGCAAGACTATTACAGCAAAGCAACCTTTGCATTTCGGCATAGCAACGACTTGCGGAAATGCAGGGTTGCAAATTCCATAACGCGTGCGGACAACGATCACTGATCGAACGCAAGCAATGACCGCACGCACATCGAACAATTATTAATAAAAAGCAAATCTTGCATTTCGACAGGACAACGAACTGCCGAAATGCAAGAGGACGAAGTCCGCGTTGCACACGGTACGAATGCCGCTAGTTCGATGACTCCGCGACGCCTATATATTCGGCGGTCTAAGGACCGGCGGGAGAGTCTTGTCATACATCTAAACGTAACGATACGTTACGCGCGTAGCGAGAACCGAGTCATATTACATCCGCGATAACGAGTGTCGCCGACCGGTCTAAGTCACGAGCGAGGACTTTAACCCGAATATATTCTTTAATTAAATCAATTCGACAATTGTAACCAACTATTCGAATTGTAACATAAGCAATTAACCACCAAAGTGTAATCATTCAATCGGGTAATTATAATAATTAAATAAAGGGTTACGATTACTTGAATAAATGTAATCAGTGGTAATAACCACTCGAAATTGTAAGTGTTATAATAAATAAAAGGGGTTATTTTAATAAAAGTGTGGTGCAGTGTGTGTTTGTTCTACGACCTTGACCACTTTCCTCGTTTTCCTCGTGGGTTCCAACCCTTTGAGCGGATCGAATCCCAAATTAATATCTTGTTGCACCGAGAGGTATAACAAAATTTGTGGCAGCGGTGGGATAATCTGGTGAAATATCACCGAAGAATCGAAGGGAAATCCAAGAGAACCCGACGATCTTAACCGCTAGAGGAGACGAGACAATACCCGTGTAAAACCGCGCAGTGGTAACGGGCCGGAGAAATAAAGAAATCTCCGATTACGATCTCTCAGCCAAGAGAAGAGACGTAAAAATATAACGAGCATACGTTATAACAAGAGCTAATAAAAAGCTCAGCAAAAAGTGAGTAAAAAAGTGAGTGACAACACCACGCAGAGGTCGACGCCCGGAGCTACCACGGTACCAAGGAAGGCTGCCAGGACCCGAGGCATTACAAGGACCAACCACCAACGACCTTGCATCGAGACGGTGTCAACAGAGGAGACAACACGACATCGACAGCTGACACGGACTGCCGACTCCGCAGAACTTCACATCCGAACAGCTGAGCGAGCCAAGCAGCGCAACAATGACGCGAGCGTTTCTCCTAATGTAAGTCGAATTCATGTAAGCGATACAACTGTGC